GCCACCCAGGTGCCCCAGAACTGCCTCAGATATGTCTCACAGAGTTTGACATTTTGTGTTTTCATTTTTATTTAGTTGAATGATTTTTAAAAATTTTCTGAAGACTTCCTTTTTTTTAAGTTACTAAATATCTAATGTGTGTGTGTGTGTGTGTGTTTTAAGATTTTATTTATTCATGAGAGACAGAGAGAAGGGTGGGGGGAGGCAGAGACACAGGCAGAGGGAGAAGCAGGCTTCATGCGGGAGCCTGATGTGGGACTTGATCCCCAGTCTCCAGGATCATGCCCTGGGCTGAAGGCGGCGCCAAACCGCTGAGCTATCCCGGCTGCCTTGTCTTATTTTTTTTAATTTAATTTTATTTATTTGAGAGAGAGAGAACAGAATGGTGGGAGAGGGAGAGGGAGAGGGAGAAGAAGCAGACTCCCTGTTCATTGATTGTGGAGCTGGACACAGGGTTCAATCCCAGGACCTGGAGATCATGACCTGACCTGAAGTTAAATACTCAGCTGAGCCACCCAGGTGCCCTTGAGACTTCCTTTTTGACCCAAGAATTATTTAGAAGTATTGTTTAGTTTCCTTGTGTTTAAAATTTTTCCTTTTATCTCTCTGTTATTCTAGTTTGATTCCACTGTGGTCAGAAAACATACTCTGTATGGTATCAATTCTTTCAAGTTTGTTTGTTTTATAGCCCAAATTACTGTCTCTCTTAATGTATGCTTTATAGGTACATGCCAGCAGTGTGTACTCTGCTATTGAGGGGAGCATCCCATAACTGTTGATTAGATCCCTCTTGGTTGGGGATGTTGAATTCTTAGGTATCTGTGCTGATTTTAGTCTACATTCTATTAATTGCTCAGAGATGCATGTTGAAGTTTCCAAGTATAATTGTGGATTTATGTATTTCTCCTTTCAGTTCTTTAGTTTTTTCTTCACATATTTTGCAGCTTTGTTGTTTGGCACCTATCTATTTGGGATTGCTGTATCTTCTTTGTGGATTGATTCTTTTACATTATATAATGTCCCTCTCTGTCTCTGGCAATTCTCTTTGCTCTGAAGTTTACTCTATCTGATGTTAATATAACCACTCTTGCTTTCCTTTAATAATGTTTGTATGATATATCTATTCCCATCCTTACTTTTAACTTGTCTATATGTTTAAGTATGTTTCTTTTAGACAGCATGGATTGATTCATCTTTTTAATCCCCTGTGCCAATCTTTGTTTTTTAATTGGTGTATTTAGACCACTTGATATTTAATGTAATTATTGGAATTGTAAGTCTGCCATTTTATTTATTATTTTTTCTTTATTTTTCATATATCTGTTTTATTTTCCTTACCTTCTTGTGGGCTACTTGAAAGCTTTTTAGGATTCCATTTTTAAAAAAAATTTTTTAGGGCAGCCCCGGTGGCGCAGTGGTTTGGTGCCGCCTGCAGCCTGGGGTGTGATCCTGGGGACCCGGGATCAAGTCCCACATCGGGCTCCCTGCAAGGAGCCTGCTTCTCCCTCTGCCTGTGTCTCTGCCTCTCTCTTTCTCTGTGTCTATGAATAAATAAATAAAAATAAAACCTTTAAAAATTTATTTTTAATGATTTCTCTAGGTATTACACTTTTATAAATATAACTTACCACAGTCTACCGGTGTTGCCATTTTACCAGTTTGAGTGAAGTATAGAAACTTTACCTTCCTTTACCCTCTCTCATTCATAATAAAATTAAATATTGCCTTTGTATATGTTTATTTTTGTATCTTTTATTTATTTATTTTAAAGATTTTCTTTATTTAGAGAGTGAGAGAGAGTGGGGGGGATGGGACAGAGGGAGAGGGAGACAGAGAATCTCAAGTAGATTCCCCACTGAGCATGGAGCCTGAGTGGGGCTCGATGTCATGACCCTGAAATCATGACTTGAGCCGAGATCAAGAGTTAGAAGCTCAGGGCAGCCCCAGTGGCCCAGTGGTTTAGCCCCTCCATTGGCCCGGGGTGTGATCCTGGGGTCCCCGGATCGATCCCACGTTAGGCTCCCTGCATGGAGCCTGCTTCTCCCTCTGCCTGTGTCTCCGCCTCTCTCTCTCTCTCTGTGTCTCTCATGAATAAATAAATAAAATCTTAAAAAAAGTTAGAAGCTCAGCCTGCTGAGTCGCCCAGGCACCCCTCTTCTGTGTACATTTAGAACTGAATCAGTGTTATATTTTTTAAAAAAGATACTTTATTTATTCATTCATGAGAGACAGAGAGAGAGAGGAGAGAGCCAGAGACATAGATAGAGGGAGAAGCAGGCTCCCTGCAAGAAGTCCGATGTGGGGATCGATCCCCAGACCCAAGATCATGCCCTTAGCCGAAGGCAGACACTCAACTGCTGAACCACCCAGGCATCCTGACAGTGTTATGATTTTATCTTCAACCGTCAAACATGTTAGAAAACCCGAGAGGAAAAGGAAAGCCTGTTGTATTTAATGATGTTTTTGCTCTCCATGTTGTTTCTTTCTAAGGTTCCAAAGTTCCTTTTGTATTGTTTTCTTTCTGTTTGAAGACCTTTCTTTTTTTTTAAAAAAAGATTTATTTATTTATGAATGAGAGAGAGAGAGAGAGAGAGAGGCAGAGACACAGGCAGAGGGAGAAGCAGGCTCCATGCTGGAGCCCAATGCGGGACTTGATCCCGGGACTCCAGGACCCCGTCCTGGGCCAAAGGCAGGCGCCAAACTGCTGAGCCACCCAGGGATCCCCCTGTTTGAAGACCTTTTATAGCTTTTGTTCTATTTTATTTTATTGATTGAGTGAGTGAGTGAGAGAGAGAGAGAGGGAGAGGGCTCTGGGGGTGGGGGTGGGGGCAGAGGGAGAAGGAGAGAATCCCAAGCAGACTCTGCTAAGTGCAGAGTGGCCTGTGTGGGCTGGATCCCAGGACTTGAGCCAAAGTTAAGAGCTGGCTGCTTAACTGACTGAGCCACCCAGATGCCCCATTTTTTTTTCTTAAAGATTTTATTCATTCATTCATTCATTCATTCATTCCAGAGAGAGGGAGTGCAAGAGTCAGGGGAGGAGCAGATACTGAGGCAGACTCTGTGCTGAGTGCAGAGCCCTACATGGGGCTTGATCTCACAACCTGGAGATCATGACCTGAGTCCAAATCAAGAGTCAGACACTTGACTAAGCCATACAGGTTCCCCTACAGCCATTCTTTTAGTGTACTCTATTGGTAAGAAATTCTCTTAGTTTTCCTTTACCTGGGAACATCTTTGTTGTGCCCAAGATTGCGAATCCGAGAAACCACCGAGGAGCCGACACCAATGCAAGCGCATGAGGGTTTATTAGCAAGCTCGAGCTTGGGTCCAAGTGTACCCGACACAGCGGAGCAGGGACTTGGGCCCCGAAGTGGGTTACAGCTGGGTTTTTTATAGGCTGGTCTAGGGGATTTTCAGAAGGGGTAGAGGAATTTCTCAAGTTCTGTTTACATTCTGATAGGGGGCTTTCAAGGGCATTGAGCTCTGTTCTCTTTCTAATATGGGACTTTCTACCAGGGCGTGGGCTCTGTTGTCTTTCTGATATGGGATTCCCTGCTGAGGACATTGAGGACATTCTGCAGTTTTTCCCGTAAAATTCAGCTCTTATTCACAGGGGCCTAAGATGGCTGTACTTGTGCTAATGCTAAACTTTAGGTGGGATGGCCTTGATTTTTCTCGGCCTCCACATCTTGATTTCTTCCCTCATTCCTGAAAGAGAGTTTTTTGGTCATAGGATTCTTGATTACGAGATTTTTTTCAGTACTGAAAAATAGTATGCTATTTTCTCCTGGCGTTGGTTTCTGATAAAAAAAATCTGTTTATTCACTGTTTTCCTCTTATAAGTAAAGTGTCTATTTTTTCTCTGACTTGAGAAGAGTTTTTCCTTGTCTTTAGTTATCAGAAGTTTAATTATGACGTATCTTGGCATGATTTGGGGGTTCATCCCATTTGGGATTTGCCCAGCAACTTGAATTTGTGGGTTTATGTCTTTTGTAAAATTTGGAAAGTTTTCAGCCATTATTTCTTTGAGTATATTTTGCGAGTTCCCCACTTTCTCCTGTCCCTTGGGGATTCTGACAACAGGTGTGGGTGAGATGACCCCTCAGAGGCCCCCATCTGGCCTATTGTCTGTGCTCTTTCAATTAGAGTGCCTGGCTTTATACAATAAGCCAGACTTGATCTTCATTAGCTGATAACGCCTTTATTTTGCCTGAGGGATGTCCCAGCTTTCTTTCCCCAGCTGTCTCCAGGTAGAGAGAGATGTTTTAACAAAAATGCATATTCTGTGTCCTGGGGGAAAAGAGCAGCTACTCTGGCTATTTTGAAATCATTTCCTCTTCTTTCTTGTGTAATGTTCTCTAGACCTAGATGTCCTGGAACATCATATGCATTCAGAAAATACCTGTGTGAGGGACTATGGCAGATAGCAGCCCACAAGGAGTTAACAGAGGGAGCAGTTCCTCATGGAACATTGAAGAACTAAGAGGCAGGTGCCCCATGATACTGAGGGAGCTCAGGGAGAGGACAGGTTGTTTCCCACTGGATGTATGGAAGTGTCACGGAAGATGTGGCCACTGTCATATAGTTTGGTTCAGGAAGGATATCTATCATAGTTTAAGTCTTGTGAAGTGCATCAGTAGCTTCCTGACTGGCTGTCAGGTGCAGGAATCCTGGATTGGGAGTGCCTTCTTCAGGGCTGGGGAAACAGGAATCCACACACTGTGCTTCTTGGAATCTGAGGGCCTCTGGAGCTACGTGGAGCGGCATCCTGTGTAGGCTCTGCTGTGGTATAGAGAGCACTGTCAGAGGCCCCAGGGACATCCTACCACCCAGGAGTGACTGATGTTAGGCAAGCTAATGTCACCTCTCCAGACTTCAGCTTTTCTTGTCTGTTAAGTGGTGATACCAAGACCCATTCCGCAGGGCTGGCAGAGGTGTACCTGTACCAGGAGTGGACTGTGAAGGTAAGGGGTGATTGTTGCTGTCCTTGTCATTATTAGGGCAGCGTGGACATTCTCAGGCTGACTCTACAGAGTGAACTGACAGGAGATGAACTTGAACACTTAGCCCAGAAGGTATCAAGGTTTCTGGTGGGGTGAGGCCTCTCCCTCAGCCAGTTCTCCTTCGCTACTGACCTCTCATGCCAGTGCTGCTGAGAGCCATCTTTGCTGCTGTGCAGGATCACCTCCTTTCAGACATACCACCTGACCTCAGCATTGTGCACTGCTTTGGGGGATGCGGAGACCCCGCTAAAAGTAAAACTAACCTGCAATTTCTGCTAATTTTCCCCATCCAGTGTTGCTGTTGTGTAGCTTCTGGTAGAGGTTCTGGAAATGAATTTTTGGAGGGGAAAATCAGACTAACCCATTAAATCTTTTGAGGAGCAGGTATTCTGCATTAGTCAAGGGGCAGAAGTTCTGGGCTTGTCATGATTTCTGAGCCATTTCTCTCTCTCTGGCAGGTGGGCAGGAAGACCTATGCCATGGTGTCTAGCCATTCAGCCAGTCATTCCCTGGCCTCAGAACTGGTGGAGTCCAATGATGGACATGAGGAAATCATTAAGGTAAGCTTAGTTTACCTCCACTCTTCCCTCTCTCCTCTTTCCCTTTGCAGGCATGTGAGAGGGAGCAGCTGGCTTTGCCACAGGGTTTGACTAGGAGAAACCAGACCTGTAACACTAGTTCCTGGGAATTTCCTGGAAAGATCTTAATTAACACCAGGAGACCACAGTCAGTGTGTAGTGACTTTGGTGCAACCCAGCCCTTGGTGTGAGGATGGATGGGATGACCTTTTTAGGTGCCTATCCCACTATCCATATTTAGCTGCTGGAAATTGTCAAGACAGGTGGGAAGTGTGTTTGTGGAACTTACTATTTTTTTTTAATTTTTATTTATTTATGATAGTCACACAGAGAGAGAGAGAGAGAGAGAGAGAGAGAGGCAGAGACATAGGCAGAGGGAGAAGCAGGCTCCATGCACCAGGAGCCCGACGTGGGATTCGATCCCGGGTCCCCAGGATCGCACCCTGGGCCAAAGGCAGGCGCCAAACCGCTGCGCCACCCAGGGATCCCCTATTTTTTTGTTTTAATAAAGATTTTATTTATTCATGAGAGAGACACACAGAGAGAGGTAGAAACACAGGCAGAGGGAGAAGCAAGCTTCATTTAGGGAGCCTGATGCGGAACTTGATCCCCGGACCCTGGGATCACACCCTGAGCCAAAGGCAGATGCCTAAACCATTGAGCCACACAAGCGTCCCACTCTTTTTTTTTTTTTAATAAAACAATTTTTGTTATTTCTTTTTTAAAAGCAGCTCTTTGAGATATAATTCACATACCATACAATCGATTCAGTGAAAGTGTACAATTCAGTGGTTTTTAGTATGTTCACAGACTTGTGCAATTATTACTTACCACTGTTAATTCCAGAACATTTCAGTCACTCCTTCCTTTTCCTGGCAATCACCAAGCTATTCTCTGTCTATGGATTTGCCTCTTCTAGACATCTCACATAAATGGAATCATATAATATGTGGCCTTTGTGTCTGGCTTCTTTCACTTAGCATAATAATTTCAGGATCCAGCCATGTTATAGCATATGTACTTAATCCTTTCAGTGTTTAAATAACATTCCCTTTAATGGATCTATCACGTGTTTTTACCCACTCATCAATTGATGAACATTTAAGTTGTTTCCACTGTCTAGCTATTACTATTTTTTTTTAATTTTTATTTATTTATGATAGTCAAACAGAGAGAGAGAGAGGCAGAGACACAGGCAGAGGGAGAAGCAGGCTCCATGCACCGGGAGCCCGACGTGGGACCCGATCCCTGGGCCAAAGGCAGGCGCCAAACCGCTGCGCCACCCAGGGATCCCTGTCTAGCTATTATGAATATTGCTGCTATGAATATTCAAGTGCCAGTTTTTGCGTGAACATATGTTTTCAGTTTTCTTGGTATATGCCTAGGAGTGGAATTGATAGGTCATTTGGTAACTATATTTAAGGCTTTGAGGAACTACCAGATTTTTTCTCAAAACATTTGTTCCATTTTATACTCCCACCAGCAACATAGGAGGGTTCCAATTTCTTTATAGCCTTACCAACACTTGTTATCATCTGTCTTTGATTATAGCCATCCTATTGCATGTGAAGCCATATCTTGTAGTTTTCATTTGCATTTCCCTGATTACATGCTTTCATATGGATATTGTCTATTTGCATATCTTCTTTGGAGAAATATTTATCCAAATCCTTTGCCCATTTAAAAATTCAGTTGTGGGGGGATCCCTGGGTGGCACAGTGGTTTGGCGCCTGCCTTTGGCCCAGGGTGCGATCCTGGAAACCCGGGATTGAATCCCACGTCGGGCTCCTGGTGCATGGAGCCTGCTTCTCCCTCTGCCTGTGTCTCTGCCTCTCTCTCTGTGTGTGTGTGACTATCATAAATAAATAAAGAAAAATAAATTAAAAAATAAAAATAAAAAAATAAAAATTCAGTTGTGGAAAAAAAAAATTCAGTTGTGGGGACACCTGGGTGGCTTAGCAGTTGAGTGTCTGCCTTCAGTTCAGGGCATGATCCCAGAATCCCGGATGGAGTCCCACATCAGGCTCCCTGCAGGGAGCCTGTTTCTCCCTCTGCGTATGTCTCTGCCTCTCTTTCTGTATCTCCCATGGATAAATAAAATCTTTAAATAAAAAAGTTCAGTTGTGTTTAGGAGTACCGGGTGGCTCAGTTGCTTGGGTGTCTGTTTTTGGCTCAGGTTATGATCCTAGGGTACTGGGATCGAGTTCTGCATCATTCTGCATTGGGCTCCCTGCTCAGTGGGGAGTCTGCTTCTCCCTCTTCCCCTCCCCCTGCTTGTGCTCTGTCTCTCTCTCTGATAGATAAATAAAATCTTTAAAAATAAATAAAAATAAATAAAAATTCAATTGTGTTTAAAGTGTTTATATGTTAGGTACAAGTGATAACTGTGACTACACTTTCTTCATGGTGTTACCTTTGCTATATTTGAATTTTAAAATAGCAACGAATAGTCCAAAAGGATTACTCTTGGTGATTAATTGAATTTAGCAAAAAGTTTGGATGTATGAATATTATAAATAAAACATTGTTATTTTTGTTAAAAGAAGTTATTTGTGTTTTAATTTTCAAGATATGAGAGTTCCTTATATATTCTGGATACTAACTAGACCCTTACCAGATATATGACTTGGAAATATTTTTTAAAAATTTTCCCACTCTGTGTTTTGTTTTTTTTACTTTCTTAATGATATCCTTTGCAACAAAAGTTTTTAATTTGATTAAATCCAATTTATATATTTTTTTCTTTCATTGTGCTTTCGGTGTGATGTCTGAGAAGGTTTTGCCTAACCAAGGTCACAACGATTTATTCCTCTACTCAAAGAATTATAGTTTTAACTCTTACAAATAGGTCTGTGATCCATTTTAGGTTGATTTTTGTATATGGTATAAGGAAGAGCTCCAGTTTCATTCTTTTCCATGTAGATATCCATTTATGCCAGCATCATTTGTTGAAAAGGCTGTTCTTACCCCATTGAATTGTCTTGGCATCCTGTCAAAAATCAGTTTAGTGTATTATTATTCTATTATTATTGTTCTGGACTCTCAATTGTATTCCATTGATTTATGTGTCTCTCCTTATGTCAGTTCCACACTGTCTTGATCACTGTAATTGTTATTTTTGTTAACATTTTCTTAATATTTATAATACTGTTATTTTTCAGGATCCTTTTACCTATTCAGAGTCCTTTGTATTTCCATATGCATTTTAGGATCAGTTTGTTAGTTTCTGCAAGGAAGCCAGCTTGGATTGTGATAGGAATTACGTTGAAACTGTAGATCAGTTTGGGGAGTAACACCATTTTAACAATATCAAGTTTTCCAATCCATGAAAATGGGATGTTTGTTCATTTTTTTAGGCCTTCTTTTTTTTTTTTTTTCAACAGTGTCTAAAATTTTCAGAATACAGGTCTTGAACTTTGTTAAATTTATTTCTAAGTATTTTTTTCTTTTTAAATTTTTATTTTAAATTCAATTCAGCTAACATATAGTGTATTATTAGTTCAGGTGTAGAATTTAGTTGCATAGAACACCCAGTGCTCATTACATTCTGTGCCCTCCGAATGCCCATCACCCTGTTACCCCATCCCCCTACCCACCTCCCCTCCAGCAACCTTCAGTTTATTTCCTAGAGTCTAGAGGCTCTTATGGTTTGCCTTCCTCTGTTTTTGTTTTTTGTTTTTTTTTTTTAAAGATTTTATAAAGAGAGCAAGAGAGAGAGACAAGCAGGGGGAGTGGCAGGCAGAGGAAGAGGGAGAAGCAGGCTCCCTGTGGAGCAGGGAGCCAGATGCTGGGGCTTCATCCCAGGACCCCTGGGATCATGACCTGAGCTGAAGGGGGAAGCTTAATCCACTGAGCCACTCAGGCGCTCCTGCTCCTCCCCTCTCCGTTTTTATCTTATTTTTCCTTCTCTATGTTCATCTGTTTTATTTCTTAAATTCCACGTAAGAGTGAAATTATATGATATTTGTCTTTTCTGACAAAATCACTGACTTTTATCTTTTATTTCGCTTAGCATAATACCCTCCAGTTCCATCCATGTAGTATTTTTTTCTTTTTGTTGCTCTCATAAGTAGAATTGTTTTTAAATTTCATTTCAGATTGTTCCTTGCTAGTGTATAGAAATACAATTATTTTTTGTATATTGATCTTATATCCTACAACCTTGCTACAACCTCTGATAGTTTTTTAGTAGATTCCTTACGGTATTCTACATACATGATCACTTCATCTGCAAATGGAGATCGTTTTTCCTCTTTCTTTTCAATCTGGATGCCTTTAATTAATTTCTTTTTCTTATTCAAAGTCATTGCATGGCCCTTAAAGCAAAACTACCCCATAATTCTACTGATGTAATCATTATTACTACTTTATTGGGTATCCCCTCAGACATTTTTATATTTGTCTGTATTTTTTCAAAAATTAAATTGTTTTATATACTATTATATACACTGTATTCTACAATTTGCTTGCCCCCCCCCAAACACTTTAATGATTTAATGTAGGTTTATAACATCTTCTGTGTCTATAAATGTAAGTGTCTGGTATTCTTTCTTTTTAATATTTTATTTATTTATTCATGAGCGACACAGAGAGAGAGAGAGAGGCAGAGACACAGGCAGAGGGAGAAGCAGGCTCCATGAGGGAGCCCAATGTGGGACTCGATCCCGGGTCTCCAGGATCATACCCTGGGCTGAAGGCGGTGCTAACCCACTGAGCCACCTGGGCTGCCCAGTGTCTGGTATTCTAATGGCTGCATAGTATTCTATTATGATGTACCACAATTTAAATAATCCCTCATTGTGGGCCATTGTGCCTATTTCCATTTTTGCAATCATAAACAGTATTTTGCTGAACATATGTTACTAAATTGCATATGTGTTTTATAATACAGGTATTAAATATTTTCTTAATTGTAAAAGATTCAAGAATGTATAGAGAAAAATGTGTAAATCTTTTTACAACCTCCTTTGTACAAATTTACGTATATATGTGAGTATTTATGCCAGTTTGGCTATGCCAGTTTATCTCATTAGGATAAATTTCCAGAAGTAGGTTTGATAGGTCAAAGAGTAATTACAGCTCTAAGCTTCCTGATTTGAATCATCAAATTGCCACGCAGAAAGGCAGTAGCAATTTACCTTCCCACCAGCAGTGTAGGAGCCTGCCTATGAGGAATTAACTTCCCAGGAGGTTCCTTTTTTTCTTTTTTTAAAGATTTTATTTATTCATAAGAGACTCAGAGAGGGAGGCAGAGACATAGGTAGAGGGAGAGGCAGGCTCCCAGCAGAGAGCCTTATGTGGGGACTGATCCCAGGCCTCCCCGCCTCCAGATCATGACCTGAGCCAAATGCAGATGCTCAATCACTGAGCCACCCAGGTGCCCTCCCAAGAGTTTCCTTACCTAAAGAGTCTTGTTTCCCTTATTGCAGGTGTACCTGAAGGGGAGGTCTGGAGATAAGATGGTTCACGAGAAGAATGTCAACCAACTGAAGAGTGAGGTACAGTATATACAGGAGGTGGGGACCCCTCCCTTGTGGGAACCTCTCAGTTTTTTGGCTCCCATCTTTTTTTTTTTTTTTTTGTATTTATTTATTTGAGAGAGAAAGAGTACCATCGGTGGGGATGGTGGGAAAAGCATATGGGGGAGGGGAGGAAGAAGTAGACTCCCCAACTGAACAGGGAGCGCAATGCAGGACTCTATTCCAGAATCCTGGGATCATGACCTGAGCAGAAGGCAGACACTTAACAGAATGAGCGACCAAGGCACCCTGGCCTTGTGGGATCTAGTTTCTCTCCCATCAGCTTCCTTCATACAGAAACCACCACCATGCCGCCCCCTTGAGTCAAGTATCATTTGTGACCCTTCCGTTAATCAACAAATATTTAACTACTATGTGCCTAGCACTGTACCCTAGCCATCCTCTCTAAACTGCCAACCTCTTTTCCTCAGCTTTTCCTGACCCTCACCATGACTCCTGTTGGCACCTAGGCACTTGTCATCATGTACCATATTACATGTTTGTTTCACTCATTTGCTTTTTGTGTCTCTGCAACAAGAATGTTGCCTCCAGCAGCACAGGGTTTTGATTTCCTTCGTGTAGGCTTTGTTTCCTGTTTGTGTAGGAGGGTCTGTGCTGCAGCCCCATTTGCCTGGGGTCCCTCCTTCCCCCAGCCAGTGCTAAGGCCAGTACCTGGCTCACAGGAGTATGGGTCAGGGACAGGCCATAGTGGGTGAGTTGGTGCGTGCTTTCTTTCCTTATCCCAAAGCTAAAGCTTCTTGCCCTCCTCTCCCAGGCCCAGAATTGCCTGCAGAAGTTCCAGGAGGACATAAGTAGCAAGCTTGACAGAGATCTAGGAGCTTCTCTTCATGGTCAGGAACTACAGGTAATAGGAAATGGTCAATGGTTGGGTCCACAAGGAAGAGGCTGTGCTGGGCAGTCCCATTTGCTGGTCACACAGCAGATGCCGAATCTCACATCACTGCCAGTAAAGGAGAGAACACGGCAATGTTGGCTTCTCAGAGCACTCACAACCTTACTAATGCTCTCCAGTAGATGGGCACCTGCGTTTACACGTATCAGCCTCTGTATAAGTATACCTGTTTTGAAAACAGTGTATAAAAATGGAATTTATGTAAATAAAATTCCATTAAGTTATTGGCAAAACCTCTTCTCTGTGAGGATTATGGGATCAATGTTTTTGCAATCCAGAGTCTTATAAAGCAAACAATTACCTATAAATGATGCAAACTTCTCATAAGTCAATCCTGCTTAATTGGGGTGACACCTGTGGTATGAATTGAAATTTTGTCTGTTTGTGTGCATAGCTGTCTCTATCTGGCACCAGAAGCTCCTCAAGGTAGGGTTCACCTCCACTGCTGTCTCTGTATCCCCACACTTGGCACAGGACATAGGATGCAGAAGGTCATCAGTAAATGTCATATTGAACTTGTTGAAGGGTCTTTTTGAGATGGATGGATGATTCTGGGATCCTGTATTTCAGTTTTTCTAAAATTGGAGGCTAGAAGTGCCCTTAGGAGAACAGAACCATCTCTTCTGTTTGACCCTCATCCTTCTTTAGATTCTGAGTTATATCTCCTTCCTCTGCATTTGATTTGGGGAGTTGGGGAGTCTCTCTCCAGTAGCCCCCACCCTCATCCTCCTGAGCGAAACGATGACTGTACAGCTGGTGGCAGCAAGGCTCCTCCTTGGTGTGAGCATGCCTGTGGCTTATGTGGTCATGCCCCCTACTTCATTCTGCTGTGATCCAAGGTAGGGCTTTCATGGCTACGCTCACATCTGGCTGCTGGGAGATGCCTTCTCAAGTGACCAGACAACCTGATATGCTCTGAGACTGACCCAGAAGTCTGCGGCCCTTGTTTGCACAGACCAGCAGTCATTTCATCACATCAAGCTATGGGCTATAAAGGATTGCTGCAAAGACCACTTCACCTTTTGCTTTTTGCTTCATCAAACCCCAGGATCCCTGAGAGGGAAGGGAGACTCTTTGTTGGTGGCAGGCAGCCTGCATGATCTCCAGTCTGTAGAAAGGTTTTAGGCCGAGGTTCCCTTCATCCTCCCTACAAAGCCAGAGTATTCCCTTTTAAGGCCACACACATGCTTCTCCACTCCCTCCCCTCTCGATTTTCCACAGAGCACTCAAAGTCTTTTTTCCCCTTCTGGCCTTTTCTTCCTTCCTGCCTTCCTTTATTCCTTTTCTTCTTTCTTTCTTCTTCTTTCTTCCTTATTCCTTCCCCTTTTCCTCCTTTACTTCCCCTTCCTCTCTATCTTCTACTTCTTTCTTTCTTTCTTTCTTTCTTTCTTTCTTTCTTTCTTTCTTTCTTTCTTTCTCTTCCTTTTTCTTTTTCTCTTTTTTCTTTCTTTTCTCTTTTCTTTTCTTTTTTCTTTTCTTTCCTTATTCATGAGAGACACACAGAGAAAGGCAGAGACACACAGCAGCAGGAAAACCAGGCTCCCTGCGGGGAGCCCAATGCAGGGTTCAATCCCAGGACCCCGGGATCATGACCTGAGCCAAAGGCAGCCGCTCAACCACTGAACCACCCAGGTGTCCCTCGCCTCTTTCTTTTATTCTGTCTAAGATTTGAGATCTTAGGAGATTAACATTTCGAAGTTGGTTGTTTGGGCAGTTTTAACAACATTTTACTTTTCTTTGAACAGGTGGTGTTAGAAAAGCCAAATGGATTAAATCCAGGCCCCACGACCCTGTATAGCAGCCCACCTGAGGTAGGTAACAGGGGAAATAGTAGTTGACTACTTCATAACCAGGAAGCAGGATATCCTCCTCTATGATCCCTTTGTTATTGCTCTTTCTTGCTCCGTAAATATAAGAGTAATGTTTGCTATAAAAATTCAAACAATGAAGAAACACACAAACCGGAAATTCTCCTTCTTCAATTCCACTCCTTTGAAGGGTCCACTGTTAACAGATTGAAGTGGGTGGATCCTTTTAGAGCAGGGCTCTTAGCCTTTGCTGTCTACTGGAATGGCCCTGGGAGCTTTAAAGGAGACAAGCCTGTGCCAGCCCTAGAGATTGTAATTTCACATGATCTTAGCCAAAAGGCCGAGAAGCGATTAGAGATTGTAATTTAGTTCATCTGAGATAGAGACTGCTGGCTCAGTGAGTACAACATGCAACTTTTATTACATTTTATTTATTTATTGAAGGAACTGGCAGGGGGATGGAGAGGGAGAAGCAAACTCGCTGCTGAGCAGCAAGGAACCCCAAGTGGGGCTCAGTCCCAGGACCCTGGGATCAGGGCCTGAGCCAAAGGCAGCTGCTCAACCCACTGGAACCACCCGGGCACCTCCCTCATTCTTTTGAATAATGACATAGTAGTATTTCTTTCCATGGCTGTGCTTATTTGTTTGTTTATTTTTATTTTATTTTATTTTTAATTCCAGCAGAGTTAACATATAGTGTTATGTTAGTTTTAGGTGATTCAATAATCCTATGCATTACCCAGTGCTCGTTGTGGCTGTCCTTTTTGAAAAAAAATTTCCCCCAGCTTTATTGCAGTATAATTAACAAATAAACATGGCTATACTTGTTTAAAAAAAAAAGCATTTGTTATATTTTTTGTGTTTTTTTTTAATTAAGATTTTATTTATTTATTCATGAGAAACACAGAGAGAGGCAGAGACATAGGCAGAGGGAGAATCAGGCTCCATGCAGGGAGCCCGATGTGGGACTCGATCCCAGGACCCCGCAATCACGCCCTGAGCTGAAGGCAGACGCTCAATCACGGAGCCACCTGGGCAGTCCATTTTTTGTGATTATGTAATAAGATATGTTATTGTAGAAAATTTATGAAATTCAGAAACACAGAAAACTGAAAGAAGAAAAAAAAATGTCACTCAGATCCACCCAGAGAAAAGCCACAGTTTAAAATGCAAATAGTATTTCAATAGCAAGGTTAAACTGTATATAGTATTTCTTTCTGTTTGTTTTTTTTGTTTGACTGGGGTTTGTTTTGTTTTGTTTTTAGATTGGTTTTTTTCTGGCCCTTCACCTTCAGTGTAGGACTGAATCAGATTTACCCATCCGTTCAAGGCATATTATCATCTCATGTCATAAAGGCCTTTTACATTTTTTAGGGTTTTTTTTTTTTTTTTTTTGCTCCTCCCCTCCCCAGCCAGAAGGTATACATTCTAATATATTCAATGTATGATTTAAATATGCCTATTAATATGTTTTCAGTTTTCATAATGGATTTGTGCTATATTTCCATTGTTTCCCTTTTTACCCAACACCATGTTCTTAGGATCTAGCCACATTGCTATGCCTAAACCTAGTGTATACTAACTCCAATGTGTATAGTTTTATAACTTTTTTTCTCTTCATATTTTAACATGAAACTTTTCCATGTCATTAAACAAGTTTTATAAGAGCACCATTTGAAATAAGCACATAGTAGTAATGCTCCAGGAGCCTTTTCAGTCATTCTCACTGCCCAGCAGCTTAGGTACCAATCTGGGCGAGTTGACCGGATAACATCCTGATGGCTAGATTTTGGCATGTTGTAGTTCTAGCCGTTCACGGTAAACTTGCAATTTGGATTTTTATTCCCTCCTTCTGAATCACCCATATTTGGCAAATATGCTGCTGGCAACAGGTTCCAATAACGCCTGGTGCTATATATTCAGCTCTTTCTTCTCAGAAGCTCTAAGCCCTGCTGGGTATTATCGAGGCAGCCTATAAGGCAGGGCATGATTAGGAGTCTTCTTGCTGCTGCACAGACAGAGAAATGAAGACCCGCTGGGCTTAGTGATTGCACAGCAGCCGAGACCCTGTTGTCTGCTTCCCAGTTGAAAGTTCCGTGCTTAAAAAAAAAAAAAAAGAAAGTTCCGTGCTTCCTAATGTGCAAGACAGGGAGAGATGTTTCAGTCAGACCCGCTGGGAGCTGGTAACTGAAACGCCTGATGCCTGTGTGGCATGGGGGCAAGACCCCACATGCCAGCTCAGCGCTAACCACCAGCCCACGGTTGGGTGTGTCTGGGGAGAGACTCACTGTAACCTCGATGAGGACACCTTTTCTCACATCAAATCAGATTCCTGGACTCATTGGGTGCTTTTGCTCTAAACCTGCCTGTCCCGTCAGTAACCCTTTATATGCTAATCTTTGTGCTAGATGCAAGGAAGACCAAAGGTGTGCACCTCTCATGGTGCATATGGCATAACCCCTGCCCTGGGGGCACTATGGTCTAAAGGAGAACACGTCCCTGCTCTCAGAACACTCTAATCTACGGAAGCAGGACATATATGTGAGGATGGCATAAGCATACCTGCTAATCAGTTGACACCTGTATAAAGATTACTGAGTGTCTTCTAAAATCATCAGATGATTTGAGGCTAGTTGAGTTCCTTAGGATATGAAGAGAGTGACTTCGTGTGAATAACTCAGAGCTCCTGGGTGTCTAAGACTGACTCTCCCCCTGAGCGATGTGAGAGTGGTCTGGACAAGAGGGCGCAAGCATATGTGGTGGCGGACCTTCTCTTACACAAGCACCATGCCTTCAGCTTCTCTTCCCTTCTCTGGTTATAGGTCGACGGCTATATAAATGAAGATGTCAAGAGCTTGAGGAAGACCGTGCAGGACCTACTGGTCAAGCTGCAGGAGGCTGAGCGGCAGCACCAGTCAGACCGTGTGGCTTTTGAGGTGAGATTTGGGATTCAAAGAGAAGGTACCCCAAGTGTTGGGCTGCTGGATACAGGTGCCAGTGACTTTTCATGGACTTCATGTCTTTTTGGCTGTGTGCCATCCACTGGAACAGCTAGGCTTTGAGGCCTGGGCACCTTCCCATCTGCTTTTTTGCATTCTTGGACATTTATAGTTTTTGCCGTTTGAAGCCCATAGTTTAAAGATTGGCACTTGGTTCTCTACTGAAGTTGAATGGTGGTGCTGGTCTAGGATAGCAGGTAATTCGAATCATTTCTCTGAGTACCACAGTAAAAATTACTGGGCTCTAGGCACCATGCAGGCAGGGACTGTCGCTGTCAGGGTCACCCTGCATCCCCATGTCTGACATAATGCCTGTCATAAGGTGGGCACCTCTTACGTGTGGATGGGATGAGAGGATGGACCAGTGTGGTTGTAGAAAGATCTGTGTCCATGGAGTCAGAGGACTTTAAGTCTAGTTTTGACTTTACTATGCAGAGCTCTGTGATCTTAAATGAGTATTTCAGTTATTACAAAAGTAATACTAAATTATTATGAAAGATTAAAAAAGCACTAAAGTCTGTAAATAGTGGAAACTCCCCATTATTAAAAAGTGTGTGAGGTCTTCATCTTGCCAGAAAATTGAGTATAAAATGAGGTACACTGGGCAAACACTAGGCTTCTGTGTGAGGTTAACCATCTGTTATCCATTATTGTTCATCCACATGTGAAGTATTTCTGTGTCATAAATATGTGATGATAGGATGTGCCCTGCCCAGGCATGCTAGGAGCTGGTGAAGAAGACTGAATGCCTCTCTTCCCTAGGATTGAGAAAGAGAATTTCTGAGAGGGATATGGAGGGGAGGAAGAAGGCACAGGGATAATCAATTGCCTTTAGAGATGATCATTTATTTGAGCAAGTAATTTAACATAAGTGTCAGGTCCAGATTATGTAAAAATGAATCACTTTAAGTATACCTTACAGAATTGAGTGAGGTAAGGTGTGTAAGTATATTACTCTGAAGGATTTTGGAAATAGAAGATACCCTGTATTTTTCTTAGTGATCAATTTAGTTAAGTGGGTTTTCCCATCCTAAATAGTCTGGACTTAGCATGATACTGAGATGAGTTTGGTCTCAGAACAAAGTGGCTGTGCAGTGAAGGAGTTTGCTTCATGTGCTTCAGATTCCACACCCTGGATAATTGGGTTGACTATGTGTCATTTTGGTGACCAGCTGTTCCCTACCTTCTTGGTATACAAGAGGAGGAAGGGGAGGTTGAGGCTGTAGCACTGACCAGATTGTGAATGTTGGAGAGAAATTTCTATCTTGAGAGGCCTTATGAATCACTTGTTGGTTTGGGCCATACATGGAGGTGTCTGCTAGCTCTGGGTTTCAGTGCTTGAACAAAAGGGTCCAGAGTCAAAGCCTGAGGCCAGGGGATCCCTGACAGCTGTGCTACCTGCCCATGGTTTCTTAGCAGGGGCTGCCGTTGGTAAGTAGCACCTGCCTGCAATAAGAGGTACCTCTTGGGTTATTTCCACTTTTGGGGTAGGTTGGCACACACCCTCTTATGATGAAGAGGTTCCTTCAGGGCAGTGTTGATTGGAGCAGCAGGACAGATGTGACAGAGGAGTATGTTTTTTTTCCTTTGTGATCCTACAGCTGAGTGTGAGGATCAGCCCATGGCCCGATAACGCTGTGCTGAGTACACATCAACCTGGGTGCAGTATTATGTACAGAAATGAGAGGTTTTGTTTTTATGTTCTTGTCCATGGGGCTGACCTGTTCCAGGCTAATATGGGACCTTTGGAGGCTTTTCTGTCTTTGCTAGTGAATTAGACTCTCTGATCTAGACTTTTCTGAACCAGGGGATAGCAAGGGCAAGATTGTCAATTACTGAGAAAACCACCTTCCAGTAAGCATGGGTTTTCTGTTCTGTGAGCAGCAGTTTGTTGTCAGGAAGGGTTTGTGGAGAGTTTGCTCTGGACAGGGCTGGTGTGTAGCATGGACATGTCCCATCACACATCATCCTGTGCTTTGCTTTCCCTCCTGTGATTCTGACTTTGGGAGGAGTCAGACTGTCTACTTTGGTGTTCTGTTCTCCTGGGGTTGCATGGGCTTTGGGGAGGTTATGTGGCTTCTTCTTCTTCGTCTTTTTTTTTTTTTTTTAAGATTTTATTTGTTTATTCATGAGAGAGGCAGAGATGAAGGCAGAGGGAGAAGCAGGCTCCACACAGGGAGTCTGATGTGGGACTCGATCTCAGGACCCCAGGATCATGACCTGAGCCAAAGGCAGATGCTCAACCACTAAGCCATGCAGGTGCCCCACGTGGCTTCTTTTTTAGTAACTGACTGGGAGTCAGTGTAGGGTAGCTGGGAAGAATTGAAATGGATGATGAGGTCACTGTGTTCCAGCATTGGCTCTGTTATTCCCCAGCTGTGTACCTTGGGGAGATCAGTTGACCTTTAGTTGTGAAAATGGAAGATTGGACTAGATGAAGACCAATTCCACTTGTGATGTTATCGAGCAGTAACTGTGTGCTAGGACTGTGCCAAGCTCTGGAAATGGAATGGTACTCGAGGTCCCTGCTGGTGGCCTACAGGGGAGTGCACACAAGTGACTGGGCAAGATCCACTTGGTGCTCTAAGAGGGGAGGACACACAATGGAAGGACTCCTCACTGGCATAGAGACTTCTGGAAGAAAAGATATCTCAAGCTGAGACCTGAAGTTGGCATATGGGAGGAAGGGAAGGAAGGCAAGTTCTTCCTTAAGTTTTCATTCAAAAATTCTGCTTCTGTCCCTCCCAAATTGGGTTATTGTCTTTGTTAAAGAGCAGTTCTTCCTGGTGCATGGTTGCCCTTCCAGATGCCATTTTGGCCTTTATATGCAGGCTGCAGAATTGCTTGCTGTGAGGATGAGGAAGAGTGTCGACTCAGAAGGAAGGCAGAAGGAAGGATGTGGAGATGTGCTCCCCTGGATTCTTTGCATTTGCATTTGTAGGAAAGCCACACCCAACTCTCAGCTTGGGTGGCACTGGCTGACTAGGTGGGGGGTGGGGATTGTTGAAGAAGTCTGCCCTCTGGAAGGTGCTTATGGGTTCCAGGTGTCACTCTAAGGTAAACCTCTAAGGTAAAGATCAGGGGACCTGGGGTGTAGTTGGTTAAGTGTCTGACTCTAGATTTTAGCTCAGGTGTGATCTCAGGGTCGTGAGATCGAGCCCCATGTCTGGCTCTGTGCTCAGAGCAAAGTCTGCTTAAGACTTTCTCTCCCTTTCCTTCTGCCCTTCCCCACACCCCCTCACTCTCTCTCAGATAATAAATAAATAAGTCTTTTAAAAAATTAAAAAAAAAAAAGTAGAGCTTGATCAGCTATGTGCCAGTGAAGCCTGGAAATGGAGATACCTGCTGGTTTCCCAAGTCATCCTAGAACTGTGAATGAGAAAGAGAGGGTGGCTTCCCCTCTCCCATCACTGCGCACAGGGCCCTGGAGTCTTCCCTAAAGTTTTTATCCACATTTGCTCTTTCCCCTCCACCCCCCTCACGCATCCCCATCCTGTCTTAGGTCACACTCAGCCGGTACCAGAGAGAAGCAGAACAGAGTCAAGTGGCCCTTCAGAGAGCGGAGGACAGAGTGGAGCGGAAGGAGGCAGATGTCGGAGAGCTCCAGAAGCGCTTGCTAGGCATGCAGGCGGTAATTGTTGGAGTCCTGCCTTCAGGGCCTAACTCCTGGTGGGTGGGGGCCAGTTGGAACCAGTGGTGGTCCTGAGATTGACTGAGACCCCCGTCGTCTGCTCTTCTGAGCAGCTCCAGGAAAACACTTCACAGATTCCTCAGCAAATGCCTTCGAGAACCTTTTAGCCTTTAAGGAATGAGGGGTCTTTCTCTCAGCTAAGCTCAGCCCATGCTAATTAGAGTTGAATCCATTTGCATTTCATTTGAGTTCTTGTACACCTGCCCTCTATGGGCTTCTGAAGGGTGTTCTTAAAAAACGAACTCTTAAGGAGCCTCTGGACCTGGCTTCCCGGACCGGCAGCCATAGCCGGCAGGTGGTCCTGGATAAGGCACGGCCAAGCTGTCCGGATAGCTGGGTGAGGCTGGGAAGTTTCTGTGTGCTGAGGGTGGGAAGGGTTCTCCCTGCCAGGGGAGGGCGCCCCATCAAACCAGCTTGGCCTGCTGCTCTTTGGAAGCTGTCCCAGGCCCAGTAGGGGTTGAGCCCCAGCCCTCAGGCGTCTGTCACCCCAAACACAGAAACTGTCATCACCTCCTTATTCTAGATTCTCTTCCCTTTGGCCCATCCAGGAGCATCAGGCCTTACTGGTGAAGGTTAGGGAAGGGGAAACAGCCCTGGAGGAACTTCGGATCAAGAACACTGACTGCCAGGCAGAGCGAGAGAAGTAAGGGCCCTCTTCGCCAGAAGCTGCCAGAAGCTGCCAGAAGCTGCGGTGTGTGCAAGGGAGGGCGGGCCAGCAGCCTGCAGCTCCAGGTGGCCAGGCCTGGGGAAGAAACTGGTGCTGATGTCAGATCTTCCAGCTCTGACTCACAGTGTGGCTACGCAGGGTGGGGCCCCGCCTGCCCCGGGGAGATACTGTTGGGGAGGCTGCCATCTCTGGGGAGTTGTCTTCCAGGGAGTAGGAGCCTAAAGGAAAGGCTTGCGTGGTGTCGGAGCCAAGGTCAAGGGGGAGCTGGTGAAGTGCTAGCCATTGTGGCACATGACTCCTCAGGTTGTCACATTGGATGTGGATGTGGTATTACTGCACCACAGTTTCCTCCCCCCCAAACAAAGACCGGCTGTAAATTACTTGAGGGTAAATCAGATAACTTCCTCACAAGTCATGCTTTGAAAAATACAACAAGTAGCTTCATGAAGAGATTCTGAACTTCCTGTCGCTGAAGCTGCTTGAACTGAGAACCAGCTGGCAGCAGTGACCTGCAGGGGATCCCTGGGATCCCTTCCTCTCCATGGTTTTTACAGATTCCCTCTGATCAGTAATCAGTGAAACAAAGAGCAGTAGGCCGTGTTGGACCTTTAAGAATTTGGAAATTCTTTCTGTTGTTGGCGATTAATAAATAAGATCTCAAATCATAAATCAAAGTTAACAGCAGCATGTTGGGCCTGCTCTCCACAGTGTAAGTTGGATCTTTTTAAGTTCAACAGATGTCACCTGGAGGGCCTTCTAAGGCATTCTAAGACTGCACAGTTGGTGGGGCGGCATCTTCTCTCCTTTCCAGTAACCTCAGTCTAGGCATGGGAAATGCAGACATTTTATTGTAGCCTCCTTTTGGGCTCAGCAACATTTCAGAATTGTTTTAAATTACTCAGCACTCTCTTTCTCAGTCTTGGTGCTCATAGGCAGGAGAGGAAGCAGCAGGAGAAACAAAAAAGACCCAGATAACCCAAAACAGAGGCATGGGAATGGCAAGAGACAGCCATGCATCAAAAATGTTAATTTTCTAAATAAAAGGAGACTGAGCAGTAGGGCACCGGAGAGCTGAGGGTGGACTCCTAGACTGTTTGAGGCTTGGGGAGGATGTTGGGGCTCAGATTGCATTGTGCCTGGCTCCCACCCTCACCGGGAGCACCGCGCTCCCTCTGGCACTGGCACCTGTCTGCTTCCTCACTTAGGAGCGAAGAGTGATGGGCACCAGCAGTGCTTCAGAGGTCTGAACTTCTGGACCCTCTGCCTAGTCGCCAGACCTCTGGGGAGCTTGGCCCAGTTTAGAAAATGCAGAGGACATAGGAGTGTCTGGGAATCCCAGGAGACTTAGGAACATACTCGTGTGAAGAAGCTCTAAGGATCCTTAAATATTACCTCCCTCTTGACACAGAGTCCTTTCCAACAGCTCGATGGCATTGGGTATCTATACTCCCAGCTCCCACTTTAATCTTTCCAGGAATGAGGAGCTCATCACACATGAGGCAGTCCACTTTCTGACAGCTTTAATGCTGGGAAAGTCTATCCTGTGTTAGCATTAGGACTGCTTCCTTGGACATCTACCCGTTGGTTCTAGTTGTACCTTCTAGAGCTTTCCAAAATAATTTATCCATTCTTACTTCTCTGAGCTTCAGTTTCCTTGTTCAGACGAGTGGATCTCTAGGGATGCTTCCCCTGTGCTCTTCCAAAGTGTCCCAAGTACCTCCTCCTCATGGCAGACCGCTGGGGGACCAGGCAGAGGGAATCCAGTTCCTGGAAGCCCCCAGGCCCAAGTCTCTATCCCATGACTGCCTCAGCTTTCTGATCTTAATCCCCAGGGCTGCTAACCTGGAGAAGGAAGTGGCTGGGTTACGGGAGAAGATCCACCACTTGGATGACATGCTTAAGAGCCAGCAGCGGAAAGTCCGGCAGATGATAGAGCAGGTAAGCAGAGTCAGGTCTTACCCGGCTTCGGTTGCCCTCATGGGAAGCCACCACAAGGAGCCTGGCCCTGTTTTCCTGTCAAGTCCATGCTTTTGCTGTTCATTCCCCCACAGAGCGTGGCTTATTTTCTTATATGAAAACACTTACAGCTACCAATTACTAGGTTTGAGTGATTAGAATTCGCCTTTCTCCCATCTTTCCCCTATGGTGTTACTCATTTGCCTTCTGTTTCCTGATGGGAAAGAGTTAGTCTCTCTTATACTTTGAAGAGCGCTGGTAAATGTATAATTAAGTCACAATAAACTCCCATACCTGTGTACAGATTATCAACCTTTGTACCTCACAGCAGATTTTCTACTGTACCCCATCTAAGCTTTAGGGTAACATACTCAGGATATGCCATTTTGCAGCATTGTTTTGAGAACTTAAAATCCCTTAGCTGGGAGGGCGTATTTGCTGCATGTCCTCCACGAGAGCTAGGATTTTTCTGTTTGGTTCACTACTGTTTCCCAGTGCCTAGAACAGAGTTTGTTACATAGTAAACACTCAACAAATATTTTTCTTTTCATGAGAGAGAGAGAAAGGCAGAGACATAGGCAGAGGGAGAAGTCAACAAATATTTATTAAATGAATAAATAATTTGTACTTCCCAGGGATCATCTGGGTGGTCTTCTCACAGCCTCCCCTCACACCTGGGATAATCAGGAGCTCAGTATTGACCGAAATGAGGCTACTATGGAAAAGCCTAAGCAAGTTATGTGGGAGGTGCAAAAGTCTGCCTTATGTCTCTGCTGGCTCCACAGCAGCAGGGCAAAGTTCGATGAGTGTGTACTGAGTCATTTCAAAATGAACCCCATCGTCTCCCACATCTTTGTAGCTCCAGAATTCAAAAGCTGTGGTCCAGTCAAAGGACACCACCATCCAGGAGCTTAAGGAGAAAATCGCCTACCTGGAAGCAGAGGTCTGTGTACTGGGCAGCCCTGGGAAGGGAGCAGGGTCTCAAAGACAGAACTCTACATAGACATAGGGAGGGAGAGTTTCCAGAGACGTCTTTGTCCTGTGTGCCTGCTGCTTAGAAGTGAGGATCTGGGATGATTGTTGCTTTTCAGTTCAGCTGAGTCAGTGTTGTCTGAAAACCTTCAGGGAGTCACAGTGATAAAAATCTGTCCCCACCCTGAAGTGGCACATTGTCACCATGTGAGCCATGTGCCACAAGCTTAGCAGAGGAGGTGCCAATGGAGCTGGCTGTGAGGAGGAGGCATTCTGGAGGAGTGGTCTTGTCTTCTCCACAGCTAAGGTGTTTTTGACCAGCTCATGAGTTCTTTTTTTTTTTTTTAAGATTTTATTTATTTATTCATGAGAGACATACACAGAGAGAGGCAGAGACATAGGCAGAGGGAAAAGGAGGCTCTATGCAGGGAGCCTGATGTGGGACTCAATCTTGGGACCCCAGGATCGTACACTAAGCCAAAGGCAGATACTCAACTCCTGAGCCACCCAGGCATACCAGCTCATAAGTTCTTAGTCTACCCTCCGCCTTTCCCAGAAGCTGGGGAGGACAGCAGGGAACGATCAGTATTGTACTCAGTCCTTGAGGGAAGGAGAGCAGGAGTGGCAACCAGAGGAAGAGGATGATCCAGAGTGGTGTGAAGACGAGGGATGAGGGCAGAGGGCACCCTGGCTGTGGCATGCATGGTAGGGGTGGCAGTGACAGTGGCACAAACAGAGGCAGAGAGCCCAAGTGAGCTAGTGAAATGTCACAAATGGCTAGCCAGCAAATGGCCACCCCTGCCTCCACAACTTGTATTACAGAACTTAGAGATGCATGACCGGATGGAACACCTGATAGAAAAGCAAATCAGTCATGGCCACTTTAGCACCCAGACCTGGACCAAGACCGAGAACCTGGGCAGGTGAGCCGGCATGTGGGTGCTGGGGCCTAGGTGAGGAATGATGGAAGAGGCACAGAACCATGGGAAGGAGACCTTTAGTGCTGAGGCCAGGACAAGGCTCCTGTAAATCCCACTTAGGCTCCAGTGTCTTGTCTGACCTGTTCTCCATCTGAGCCATTCTCTAACCAGGTCAGAGTAAAGCCTGACAGCACAACCCCAAGGAGGCCCACGAGCAGCCTCTAGATGAGTCTGGGCCCTCTGAAATGGTTTGCAAAAATTACAGAGGTGTAACAAGTGTGTATTTCCAGAGGGGGGCCTTTTGTTTCTAAGAGATTGACAGAAAGGTCCCAGCCTTTGGGAAAAAAAAAAAGCAAGAATCCCAGCTTTGCCCACTTCTCAGCTGTTTCACTGCTCTCTGTGTTGTCACCATCCCTGTTCCTCCCTCCCCCAATCTTCACTGAGACGTTGGCAGCAGGTGCTGCGCCAGAGAGGATGCTGAGGGGGGCACCGGGGGGGTACCCGTGGGAGAGGGGACTGTGTGCAGGGTGGGCGACAGGCCGCACTCGCTGCTTCTGACTCTCTTTCAGTGGGAGGATATCCAAGCCCCCCAGCCCGAGTAAGCCCATGCCTCTCATCCGAGTGGTGGAAACATGAGCGAAGGAGCCGAACACTGCTGCTGCTGCCGCCGCCTCTCGCCTGTGGAGAAGCCCAAAACCCCTGTAGGCCGTTTCCCCGACTTTGACTTCCTGACTAGTCCCTGGCTACGCTGAGGGCTTTTGGTTCATGCATCCTGCTGTTTCCAAACTCCTGTCCCTGGGATGCTGGGCCGACAGAGGATGAACAGCTCCTGGTCGCTACAGCCCTTGGGAGGACGTGAACCCACCAGCAAGAGCCAGGGCAATATCCTTATTTTCTCGTTCCTGTTTTTCTCTGTAGTGGAGCCTCCCTTCTCTTGTAGCCTGGGGTCAGCTGCCTCCAAACCCACCCCCTCGCTGGGTCAGGAGAGGTGACAATATTTGCCTCCCCCTAAGAGCCAGAGGCACCGATGTCCACCTCACTGGGAGGGAGTCCCGGGGGAATGAAATTCCCTCTACAAACACAGATCAGTTCTTAGTAACACATTGTTTGTTTTTCTACTTGCTCCACCCTCAGCCCTGCCACCCAGGCCTGCAGATTGACATGGGGGACCTGTCATGGCCTGGGCCAAGTCAGTGAGCCTCAGCTTTGACTGGCCAGCCTGGTCCTCCTGGGAGAAGGAAATGTACATTCCAGGAGTAGCTCTTAGTGGACAGATACTGTAGGGCCAAGGATAGTCGTGTGTGACTTCTCTCTGCTGGGAAGGCTCCCAACATCTTTTCGGGTTTCCTCCTAAGATGCAGTGAGTGCAAGATACACCTCAGTCTTCTTGCTCAAGAGCCTAAAAACTGTTTTCGCTGGGTTATATCAATCTTTGTGAAACTCTGATTGTATTTATTTTACTAAATTATTGGTGCTTTTCCATACATCCCACAATTGATTTAATACCAGAGTCTTACAGCCTTCTCTTGTGGTGTTTGGATTTGCTCCATGCTGAGAAAAATGTGTTCCCAATGGAAGTAAACCTTTTTCTTTTTCTTCTGCCTGCTTCTCTTCCTTCCTCCTCCAAACCTGATCTGACCCTCAGGAGGGCAAGCATATTTACCCTGAGGCTTTGGAGTCTGACGGTATGTTGTCTGGGGGAAAGGGGTGATCAGGACTCTTTGGGGGGAGTGATTGAATTCTTCCCCTAAACCCTCTGCACCCTCTGCTCCACAATCACTCTGTGTTCCTGGCTCTGAGTGACCCTGACACTCATCGTGTTTTCCTTAGGGCTCTTCCTGCAGCCTCCAGAAGGAGATAACCATCAGAATGTGGTATTGTGGGGCACAGAAACATTCAGAGTAAACATGGATCAAGTCTTCAGGTTCTATTTGGCTCAAAACCTAGAAGCCTGATCTCTGTGTGTTGTGTATCAGGACGGGGCTGACGTGTTGGCACTGTCCAGAATGCTGTTCTGGTGTTCCTCACCCACATTCCTCATCTGTAAAATGAGGGGATCAGACCAGATGATTTCGATAGGCCCTCTGGTTCTGATGTTTTTTTCCCATGGCATATTCTTTGTATGGCAAACTTAATAAAATTGTTAATGTGTCTCTTTGCACTGCTGGCCTGTTCCCCCACCCCACCTCCCACCACCACCCCCAACTTTTCTGGGAGGATGAAAGAACATGATTTTAGTGCCCGTTGAAGATGGCCACCTGGCTGTCTGCATCTGGAAGGTGTGGACCAGACACCCGAACCACAGGACTTTGTGGCGTTCAGAGGAGTTAGAATGTCCCTCTTAAGCAGCTCTGCTTTATGGTCTGAGTCTTCATTGTAGGAGATAGTCCCTAACTTTGAACTTGTCTGGGGTGGTGGCCTGTGCGCCCTATGTCTGGCCAGTGTGAGTGCTCCTCACTGGAGGAATTGGTCACAGCAGAGGTCCTTTGACCGCTTAGAAATTCACCAGGCAGCACAGGAGGAAGTAGAGCCACTCCACATCCTTTGCAGAAACGTCAAGCACTCTGGAAATGCTGACAGGAGCCGGTTAAGGGTTTCCTGTTTGGCTTTCTCTGAGCACCGTTCAATTAGTCCACTGATCTTTTTCTTTCTTTCTGCCAAGAATGCAGTTGACTGCAGCCCCCTGGGGCATAGCCAAATTTACGTGAATCCTTTCTAGACCAAAGGAACTAGAAATGCAGCCTTTTTATCCCTGGCCACTTCCTCCTAGCTCCCCTTTCTCCTTCAATGCAGAGAATGGAAATTTTTCACTTAGGACTTTTCTTCCCTCTTCTGCTCATTAGCTGATTCACACCCCAGGTTTCAGAATGCATTGGATGGAGACCTTCCATTCCAGACCTGACTGTGTCTTCTAACTGCCCAAGGTTCTGTTCTCTTCTTTTACAGTCTTGATTGGCATGGGCCTATATAGACTGTGCTTTTCACAGAGTATGAAGAGGGTGGAAGCAGGGTGGGGTTGCCTGTGGCGCCAAGACTTGCAAGGCTGGAAGGCAGGAGTGAGTGTACTGCCATACTGGAAAGGGAGGCTCTCAACCCTGGCCTTGAGGGCTTGGTGGGGTGAGCAGAGATTCAGACTGGAGGTGATGAAGTGGTCTGGAGACCAGAACTGGAGTTCTGAGAGTCCTTGAACCAAAATATGCCTCTGCTGGACATTTGTCACAGTTTGGTTGTAAAGAAGCAGGGGTTTGCTCCAGGGGCTAAGGAGGGTCTATGGGAAGAGGAAGTAGTCAGAAAGGTGGTTTATTTATACCTTTTCTATGGAGAGCAGCGACAGGAGGAGGGTGATAAAGCCCAGAGCCTGAGGAAGGGCGAGGTGAGCAAGCTGCTCCTGATTTCAGCAACCTGTTTATTACCTGTGTTAGGTCACTGGTAAGCCAATTCTTCTGCACTGCTTGAGTATTTTGTGGACGGAAGATTGAATCTGCTTGCCTGGGACCTTTGCCATCAAGGTCTGTTTCTTTGAGCTGGATGCTGAGAGCTGCCCGGACACGCAACTGTCAGCAACCAGCTTCCTGCAGATCTGGTGCATTGGCCCCAATGTGGGAAAAGCAGCTTGCAGGAGCACTCCTTGCTTTCTGAGCAAGAGCCCCTATTCCTGTATCTCTTCACATGTCCCCTTCTGCAAATAGAAAAGGCCTGAGAGGGACATGGCATGTCCCCAAGAGGTGCATGGCAACTTTTTAAATTTTTACTTATTTTCATTTTTATTTAAATTTCAGTTAATATATGGTGTGGTGTTCGTTTCAAGTGTACAATTCAGTGATTCAACACTTCCATACAACACCCAGTGCTCATCACCTATTTAATGCATCCCCCCACCCATGGCAACTTTAAAATTTTCTTTTTTTTTTTTTTTTGTTCCCCCTCTGTCCGCCCACCCCGCGTGGACCTGCCGCCCAACTTTATTTTTTTTTTAAGATTTTTATTTTATTTATTCATAGAGACAGAGAGACAGGCAGAGACACAGGCAGAGGGAGAAGCAGGCATCATACAGAGATCCCGATGTGGGGGACAATCCAGGGTCTCCAGGATCACACCCTGGGCTGCAGGCGGTGCTAAACCGCTGCGCCACCGGGGCTGCCCGCCGCCCAACTTTAAAATTTTATTTTATTTTTTTAAGATTTTATTTATTCATGAGAGAGGCAGAGACACAGGCAGAGGGAGAAGTAGGCTCCCTACAGGGAGCTGGATACAGGACTTGATCCCAGGACCCGGGGATCACAGCCTGAGCCAAAGGCAGACACTCGACTGCTGAGCCACCAAGGCGTCCCACAGCAACTTTTTTAAAAAACTAAATTTCTAAAAAAAAAAAAAAAAAAAACTAAACTAAATTTCTAAAGCCCAAAGGTGATTTGTGCATCTTCATCTCTATTCAAAAGAATCTTTCACCATGAAATGTTCCAAGATTTACCTTGGAAAGATGCTCTGATAAGATACAGCTTAAAACAACTTAATTGACGAGAAGGGTAGCATCCCTTGGGGTTCTGAAGCAGCTTTAAGGAGATCTTCGGTAGGTGTTGCTGTTTTTTATGGGGCTTCAAGTAATCCCTGGGCTCCTTTGTTCCTCAATGCCAAGTGGCAGAGCCGGGGCCTGGGCTTCTTCAGGCTCTGACCTGACAGCAGATGTTAGCCTAGGGCGGCTGGCTTCTTTTCCATGCTTTGATTTAGTACTCTGGCTTCGCAAGGAGAAACTGTGTCCTGTCTTCCATGCTCCAGTTCTAAGCGCCATGGTCTTGAAACTCAAAGTTGGAGACCTAAATATCTTCCAGACCCTCTTTCTCCAGACTGAAGACAAAGTTGTTTTTTACAGGTAAATGATTTCGAGCTCCACCTGTGCAGAGAGTTGGCAGTGAGACTTCTTTGAACTCTGAAATGTGTGTGGCCTTTCTGCTGGAATCTTCTCTTCTTCTGGAGCCTTTCAGGACACAGGACTGAGGGTAGATGGTGACGGGATAATTAATTTCCTGACAAGGTGTTAGTCACCAAGTTATAGAACACAGGATCTCAGATGACAGCTAGGGAGGAATGAAGCCATTCACCCTCATCACTTAATCTGTCAATTCAGTGCTGCGTAGACACCGAGGCCTTTCCTCCCACTCCCCACTATGCTGGGTACTATGTCTGCAGGAGTCTGGGGACCCTTCAACCTATTTTACGTCTATCTGCATGTGTGTGAGTGGGGGGGGGGGGCACGTGAGCTGAGCCATCCAGGTCCCCCAGGACACTTCACTTCTGACACTCCTGGTCACCAAACGTGTAGGATTTTCCACCATACCAAACCACTGAGGACACCTGCTGGGTGTCTTGCAATTTAACTCCATTCTGATGTGATTTGCCTGAAGACACGTGTCCATCATGTCCCTCAGGATAAGGGCTCAGTCCACAAGGCTGCCCCCCACTGCAGATGCCAGTCACAAGTATCAGGTCCCGCAGGTGCCTACAACTTCTATCTGACTTGGCTACAAACTGGAAGTTCCCACAACCCCCTCGTTAGCTTCGATGAATTTGCTAGAGTGGATCACAGAACTCAGGGAAACATTTAAGTTTCCAGTTTATCACAGGACATGATAAAAGATACAGATGAACAGCCAGGTGAAGAGAGAGATACCTAGGGTGTGGTCTGGGAAGGTCCCAAGTGCAGAAGCCTCTGTCCCCATGGAGTTGGAGTGCATCACTCTCCAGGTGTTTGGCAGCCTGAAAGTTCTTGGAACCCTATACTATTGGGGGTTTTTGAAAGCTTTCTCAAATAGGCATGGTCAGTTATTAATTCCATTTCCAGGCCCTCCCCTCTCTGAAGAATGGGGGATGAGGCTGCAAATGCTAAGTTTCTAATCATGGCTTGGTCTTTCTGGGGACCAGCCCTCATCCATGAGCTTGCCCAGAGTCGCCTCACTAGAACAACGATGCTTCTGGTGTTCTTTTATCCCTTAGGAATTCACAAGGTTTCCAGGAGCCCTGTGTTAGGAGCCAGGGCCAAAGACCAAGTAATTAGAGCAAGAAATATTCCTCATGCTCTTATCACTTAGGAAATTACAAGGGTTGTCAGAGCTCTGTGCCAGAACTGGGAGCTGAGACTAATATATATATATTTTTCTATTATCTCACAACTGGTCTAGAGAGCTGACCTCTCTCCTTGAATATATTGTAATCTTAGCATAAGGAGGACAGAAATTGACTACCTTCCAAAATATCTCCCCTATTCTATACTTCCTGTTTGTAAACAGTCACTCTCCTCAGTAATTCAGGCTAGAGACTTGAGAAATTTTTTTTTATTATTATTTACTTGACAGAGCACAAGCAGGGGGCGCGTCAGGGAGAGGGAGAAGCCGACTCCCTGAGCAGGCAGCCCGATGGGGTCTTGGGATCATGACCTGGGATCGTGACCTGAGCCACCCAGATACCCTGAGACTAGAGACTTTAAAGCCATCTTTGATTCTTCTTTCCATTCCTTTGTCCTTTGTGTCCAGTTGGTCAACGTGTCCTAATGTCTCCTAGTTTGAAAAATCCCTCAGACTTGCCTCTTCTTGTGTCTACAGCCTTGTCTCAGCCAGTCTTGAAGGCTGGATTGCCTCAGAAGCAACGTCTGCCAGTCCTCTAATTTCCAGTCTTTCCTACCCCAAGCCCATCTTCCTTACAGCCATCATTTGAATCTTTCCCAAATGCTAGTTTCATCCTATCAGCTGAGGTTATTCAGTCCAGATAAAAAGAGGCTGTTGGGAAACAAGACAGTCTCCAAAGATGAAAATCTCTTTTGTAGGGAGAAGGGCAGTTTTACCCACCCCCCTCCCCGCCTGGCTCCAGAGGGCAAAACTCAGGTCTTTGTGTGGCTTTGGTGGGACACAGCCAAGAAACAAAAGGATGCACTGACAGAGTCAACTGGACTGTAATATCCAGTTAGCAAGTTTCCCCCATAGACACCAGTAACAGCCCAATCAGAAAACACCCTGAAATATAAAATACCTGGAAGTTGGGGTGCCTCTGTGGCACAGTTGGTTAAGTGTCCCGACTCTTGACTTCGGCTCAGGGTCGTGGGATTGAGCCCCACAGTGGGCTCTGTGCTCAGTGCAGAGTCTACTTGAGTTTCTTTCTCTCTCTCTC